TTTATTATTGTATTAATTACTTATTACAATAGTATTCATATTAACAACTTAATACAGGCTGTAGTAGTGCTAATGCAATGGTAATCCAATTAAGTAATCCAGCACATATTTGCACTTTGCATTATTGCAATAACTTCATAATTAAGTAATTAAACCCATAATAGCATAATATGTTAGTTGTGTTGACAATACTTGAAATGAAAGGCAGTGTAGGATTGAGTGAAAGCAGTGATCAAATATAATGTATTGCCAATCAATTCAATGATTATTAGTTGCATTCAATTAGTGATATCTGCGTGAAGTAGTGAAATGTATGAGCATTGCATGCATTGCCTGCACCACTGCACTATGCATTCTGCATAGTGAGCAATTGTTTGCATTGAAGTGATGGTCCCTTAAGTGCCATTAGTTTGCAAACAATCGCACGCTTTGTAAGAGTGAGACATAAGCACAACATAAACAACTCAACTCCGAGGCCACTATTGGTCCCAATCAGTGATATGTTGAGTAAAATGGCATTTCAAGCACATCCACACGACACGAACGCAACCGATGACCACAAGTGTGTCCTTTTGGGCAACGCTTTCAATGAACTCAGACATCGAGACACTGACGAAGCCATGGATGGCATGGATTCGGCGGACAATCACTCGTCACACTCGTGGAGAATGAAAGACAGGGTTTGTCCACTCATTCCTCTTACTGTCTCACAAACTCTTAGGCAATATGACACTCATTATTGTGTCAATTGATTGGACGCATAGACACTGTTATTGAACTCATTTAATGACTTATTATTTGCATTTATTTGATGATTGAAGTGATAGACAGCGATCACATGATAAGTATACCATAGAATGAATTAACTGATGATCTGTTTGTGGTGCAGATGAAGACGGTTAGTGTGGCGCTGGTGTTGTGTCTGAACGTGGGGGTCGACCCCCCGGACATAATAAAGCCGAACCCGTGTTCAGTACTGCAGAGTTGGGTGGACCCGTTCTCATTGGCGCCGCAAAAGGCATTGGAAGCGATCGGCGCTAACCTTCTGAAGCAATACGAGCGATGGCAGCCCAGGGCTCGCTATAAGCAGAGTCTGGACCCCACTGTGGAGGACGTGAAGAAGTTGTGTACATCTCTGCGCCGTAACGCCAAAGACGAGAGAGTGTTGTTTCACTACAACGGACACGGAGTGCCCAAACCCACAGTGAATGGCGAGATCTGGGTCTTCAACAGGAGTTACACGCAATACATCCCACTGTCTGTCTATGATCTGCAACAGTGGATGGGGTGGCCGTCCATATATGTGTTGGAGTGCTCTAACGCCGGCACTATAGTCGACTCATTCATTCAGTTTGCGATACAACACGAGAAAGAGTACGAAATGAATATAAACACCAATACATCGACGAGTGGCTCACCATTTCATCACCAAATGACACCCAACTATAAGAACTGCATTCTGTTGGCCGCTTGTGCTAAGAATGAGTTGTTGCCAATGCATCCCGACTTACCGGCTGACCTGTTCACGTCGTGTCTCACAACACCCATCAAGATATCCCTTCGATGGTTCATCAAACAAAGTGCCGGCAAATTAGTTCCGGCCGTCAATCTGGAACTGTTGGACAAAATTCCCGGACAATTGACGGACAGGAGGACAATGTTAGGCGAACTCAACTGGATTTTCACTGCTATTACCGACACAATCGCGTGGAATACTCTGCCCCGCGATCTCTTCCAACGCCTCTTCAGACAAGACCTATTGGTCGCCAGTCTTTTCAGAAACTTCTTGTTGGCCGAGAGAATAATGCGAACCTATGACTGCTCTCCCATCTCATACCCCGCACTCCCACCTGCTTATCACCACCCGATGTGGAACGCATGGGATCTGGCGGTCGACTTGTGTTTAGCACAACTGCACCCAATTATCAATGAAAACGCTCAGTACAAACACAGCCAGTTCTTCTCGGAACAGTTGACTGCCTTTGAAGTATGGCTCCAATTGGGTGCCCGACCCGATCGACATCCCGAACAGTTGCCTATTGTATTACAAGTGCTTTTGAGTCAAGTCCATCGATCACGAGCTTTGGACCTTTTGGGTCGCTTTCTAGACTTGGGTCCCTGGGCTGTGCACCTGGTATTCAATCCTTTCACTACAATAAGCGCAATACTATAGAGTCTAATGAATGGCTTCTTTTCAGGCCCTTTCTGTCGGCATCTTTCCATATGTGCTGAAGTTATTGCAGAGCTCTGCCCGAGAACTCAGACCTCTATTAGTGTTCATTTGGGCCAAAGTTCTGGCTGTAGATCAGGTGAGGTCTACCATCTATTAATTGCTATCATTGTAGTGACACAGCAAT